ACTATTAACACCCTTACAAATGAAGGGCATTACAAATGAAGTCTCTTTCTCTTTGAAGAGATCAGGGGTTATCTATTTCATCTGAAAAACTTCAAACCGGGGCTTTGGCACTAGAAACATGCAAACCTCTGAGTGACCTACCACCACCCCTCTCTCAGCTCAACTCCTGGCATCGAACCACCACCTCCTGAGCCAAGGCAAAGGTGATCTGTGTCCCAGTATTCTAAGCAAGCCACACCCAAGGTAGTGCCTGGTGGGAGTAGAGCCCACACTTAACTGCACTGACCTGGGACTTCACCTCAGCAAGAACAGCTGGGGGCAAAGTGAGAAATGTCAATATCCTGCTCTTCCCAGGAAGAAAGTGCTTCAAGAGGGAGCTGGGGAAGAGAGATCCCTGTGTTGTCAGGTGTAGCAGTCTGACGTCTCCACCATGATAAGCATAGAGGAGGGGGTTTAGATTGAAATAACAGACTCTCACATTTCCTACAAAATTTTCTTTTTTTTTTTTTGCAGTTGTTGACCGGAGCTGGGTTTGAACCCACCACCTCCAGTATATGGGGCCCAGTGCCCTACTCCTTTGAGCCACAGGCACCACCCTTTCATAGGTTTTTAAAATTTGTTTCTTTTTTGAGACACAGTCCCACTCTTGATAGAGTCCTGTGGCGTCATAGCTCACAGCAACCTCAAATTCTTGGGCTCAAATGATCCTCTTGCCTCATCCTCCTAAGTAGCTGGGACTACAGGTGCCCACCACAATGTCTGGGTATTTTTTGTTGTTGCAGTTTGGCCGGGGCCGGGGCCGGGTTTGAACCCACCACCTTTGGTATATGGGGCCCGCACTCTACTCACTGAGCCACAGGCACCACCCTTAATTTACGATTTTCTTTCCACACCACCTCTTATTGTCTTATTTTCTTTCTGACCTTGTTTCCGCCTTCCCAGAGTAAGCTCAGTATTCCACTCTCCTGGTTTTCACTTTTGTGAAGTAGCTGCTACATCACTGGTACTTTACACGTAATGTCTTCTTTCTCTTGCTTTTTGGTGATTTGCTTCCGAAGGGCATCCCTCTTACAGACCTAGACATTGTCTATCTTCTAGAAATTAGCACAGTGGGTCTAGCTGTTGATTTATTTTCTGTATTCCCCAAATCTAAGGATGTATGACTTTAATCGAATCTGGAAATTTCTTAGTTAAAATACCCTTAACCTTCATCCCTCACCATTCCATCACCTCTCCTGGTGGTACAGGTGATGCTCCATCTTTCACACACTGTCACTCTTTCCTGCACTCGGTCTAACTTTTTACGTCGGTCTCCTAATTCATTCTCTTTTGCTCTGTTTAAGTCTGACTGATCATTTTTCTTCCCATACATTCTTGCTTGTCCTGTGTGCCCATCATTTTCTCATTCCTTTTTTTAATTCCCTTCTGTTCCTTACACATACTGTATTTCAACAAAACTAAGCCATTAAGTATTGAAAGATAGACCATTTTCAGTACCAATTTAATACTGTGATGTCATTCCAATCTCAGATCTTTTTTGTGATTTGTCTTTGAACACGCTAATCCAATGATCCCAACACTCACAGTTTTTGCAGGTCAGATTCTGCTGTTATTAATTTATTCACAATGACTTCTTATTGGGACTTTGAACAAGCGCCAAAAATTACTGGAACACCACCTAAGACAATTCTTTTGAGACTGTTTAAAGTGCTTTAAGACTGCGTTACTTATTTCCATTAAGTATCCAGAATCATATCAAAACTCAAATCACTTTAACTTATCAGCTTAATTTTCCGGCCACATGGTTGTAGGAGTTTGGTTCTGACCCAGTTTGTAGCTTGTGGATGTAAATTTTTCTTCTTCTCCTTCTTACCAAACTGTTACTTGAAGCTCAAGGATATTAATTCTTAGGTGAAATTTCTTCTCCAGTTTCCTTATTATTCCCCCTTTCTGAAGCAGTACGTGGCTTCTCTGCCTTTTTCGCCTTGTGAGGTTCCAGGTCTTGGAAGATGTCTCACTGCCCTCGTGTTTATGTGGGTGCTAGGCTTTGTCTCCCCTCCAGAGCCGAGCCTGTTTCAGCTCTATCTTCAGGCAATTATCTCTTTAAAATTATTACTTCTCCAGACTCATGCTTTTTATTTAATCCCACACTGAATTTTATATTTAAAATTTTTCAAGTCTACAAAGACAGTGAAACCACCATACAGTACTCAGCTGCCTTTCACTGATACTCACCGACTGTGAGTCTCCTTTGCACTATCGCACGTTTCACACCCACAACACACATTTCTGCCCGACTACTGGAAAGCAGAAGACAGACACGTCATCTCTAATTATTTCAGCACACGTTCTCCCACTGTTACACCTAAGAAAACTAAACATTATTCCATACCATGTGAAAGTTCATACACAGATTTCCTAAGAGATGTCCCTAAAATATCTTTAATGGCTGGGTTTATTTGATTCACAATTAAATCCAAGTTTACGCATTGCATTTGATTATACTCTATCTGATGACTTACCGATCATATTGCATTGCTGTATCAGAACAATCTCTCTACTTGTTTTGCACATTTACTTTAAGAATCCAAACCATGGTCTTGTAAAGGGCTAACATTCTAGTTTTGTTTAATTATCACGTGATTAGATTCAGGCTAAATGTTTTGGTAAAAACGCTTACACAGGCGATGAAGTAGGCCTTTGGAGTATCTTTTTTTTTTTTTTTTTTTTTT